GGGGGCGCGAACACATGCTTTTACATTCTGGTACATTAATTTGATTACATTAAAAGCTTTACCCATAATACCAACTCTGACTAACTTATAAAACAATAGATGGTGGTCAACGCGATCAAAAGCTTAATTCACATATACGCAATATATTCTCCCAACGACCGATAACGATAACGTTCAATGATTGTTTGCAAAATAAATAAATAGTCAACAGTGGAATAACCTTGATAAAAACGAGCTTGCAAACAATTGGAAAATTCTATTATGCCCACATATTGATTCTAGTATATCAAATAACATTAGTAAATACATTTGTGATAGTTGTCAATAAAGATATACCACGGTAATTGTTGGATTCCTTCTTCTTGCTACTTTTTTATTATTAATTTTTAATTTTGGTTGAAATTAGAAAGAATACTCAACCCACCAGATAATTTGTAAAAATTCGTTTTTTAAAAATTATATGGTGATGTATTAATATTTATGGGAGAAAATTTTGAACCGACTAAAATTATTATAAAATCGGCGCCCTCTATGGCAAACTAAGTGAGCGATCAACTGCTCACCCCGTTGATATCGTATATAATAAAAATCCTTACTTAGTGCACATCACGCCCATGTCAAAAACTTTTATTTGTGCTTCGGAGAGTACCTCGGATTGAGAGAAAACTCGTTTAACCAACATTTATCTCATACACGACCACTGCGCTGTTATTGTAAAAAACAACACAATACAAAGAGGGATTGTGAGGATGTAATCGTGGTGATAGCTATTTATACAATGTATACATATCAAAAAAGGCCGCACGGACTTTGCGACTTCTTAAAATAACTCCTTCTTCTGAACAACACATTGAAACCTATGGGCAAACCGTTTTAAAGACTGTGAGGAGGAAGTATGGCCGGTAACACCATGGTCTTTCTATCACTACTGCAAGATATCACAACCGTCACTGATAAGCTACTCGTTCTGTCAATTACTTGGCCGGTGTATAACGCTCATGATGTTCATATTTTCCAAATATGTCGGTAAGTATAAAATGCTGTATTGAACATTGGGTGCCGCTATGCATCTCGTGTTCAAAGTATTGTCGGGTTGCGTCATGACATTGATATACACAAATCGTGTATTATTGTACTTCGATTTAATTTATTGTTTATAGTACATCAATAAAATTTGATGAATATGTAGCTACTGTTAGAGACAAAAATGGCTCTTTTCAGGGCCACAACCCTTTCATTACGCGGCCAATTGTGTGAATATGTTTGTGTATAATATCGAGACGCTTCAATATTTGTTTTAGTATTGTGAAAATACGCAAATAAATTAATGGATGTAAAATAATTGCAATGCAGGTACGACATTCCCGATTACTATAGCCACCATTATTGAAACTTTAAATGAATAACATAGTCTGCTGACAATACATTTTAGGTATTTGGCTCATTACTATTACTATATGGGTATATTTTCTTGTATTCAAATAATACACAATCTAGACGTTTATAAATATTCTACCATGGCTAATACGAGACAGATATTCACACGTGCCAGTCCGACAGAAGTCTGCGTTGTAACTAGATACGTTGTCGCCCTGTCCTACTTCAGCGACACGAACTCTGGGGGCGTCGCTAAAGTATCAAAACAACCTATATTGTATGCAAATCAATTTTAATCAATAACATTTAAAGATGTAGTAGTTTTTTCAGGAAGTACAATTCACACTAATTACTTTTATAGATAAATTGTTTTTAACCATATCATACTATATACTTCATGAAAGAACATAATTAACACTAATTAAAAATACATGAGATTAGATATAATCTACGTGATAATATATAAATCATGTGGTCATGTGACTTTTAAGTAAATAAATACTTTAATAATGATAATTCAAATGATTACTGCAAAGAAATTGAAAGAGATACCAAGTTTGTTATTGACAGGTGAATAAAGCACGAGAAACATGGCAGTAATAGTCACAGCGATTGTGGATAAATTTCTTTTTCTTTTAATTTTTTTTCCAGAATATTTTGTCCATTTGTAATTTCAGATTTTTCAAATTTTTAGAATGCATGAATTCATCAAAAATCTCTGATAAAAGGTAACAAATCTGATGAATGCCAGCTCATTTTATATTATATTTAAGGTTAAGTTTTTTTAATGTTTTTGTGCCCTTCGGAAGTTTTGGACATTGAATGTCACTGTTGTTTCTCCTGACGTTTTTGTATATGCAAGTTGCAAGGGCTAGTGCTGAAACATAGTGCATTTTTGCCACAGAAGTCATATTGATGTTTTGGACTCCATGAAAGGGCTGTGCGGTCATCTCTCTATCAAATGGCAATTTAATGCGCTATCCTGGCGTCAACCAGGCTCGGTCAAACACCTACGGACCTTAAAGCGAGGTAGTCGTCGCGCAGCGCGTGTTCGAATTTCATGTAAATAAACAATGTATTTTACACGCATTGTATACGTCGCTATGAGTCCCATATCGAACAGGACGCGGCACGACGACTACCGCTCTTTAACCAAGGTTCCCCCAAAGTCGCATTCATTAGTGAACGAATCACGGCCAGTGGAAATGCGGGCCTTCCCATTGAGTCTGTGGCACACTCAGCCAAATGAAGCAGTCCTGACATTGCTGTATGTTCCGATTACTGGTCGCCTCATTGCAGTTTCTTGACTGAGATGCCTATCTGTGAATGACTCAAACTTTAGTAACTGCATAATCGATTCTTTAGTTTTGCCAGGCGACCAGGTTCAAGTTGGCCTAGGTCAAAGAAAATGATAATATGTTACCGTCGCGTCGGACAGAAGAACAGGTCATTAAACTGACTCAAGTTGGGCCACGCTGACTTCCCTGACGTAAAATTGCCCGGTCGGCGAGATATATAAAAAAGAAACTTCATGCAGTTTATGTATCACTACATTTAGAATACCAGATTTCACAACCTTTGACAACTACCGTATTGGTTAGTGCCAA